AAACTAGAGCCAGGGGGTTCCCTGATGGCTTTGCCCATACCTGATACACATAAACTCTGTGTTGTTAAGTAACACAGGATCAGAGAAATAACCTTGGAGGAGCAAAATCTGCTGCTTCTCCAGAGTCCCAGGCCCCACAGTTCTGTCCCTCATATCCACATTGATTTGATTTTGATTCAGATCTGTGCTTTCTCTGGCTTCTTCCTGGTTGTTCCTAAATGTCCAGAGCAGGGTGCTTTGTGACAAGTACTCCATTGAGAAGTGGGCATTGTGGGGATAGAGGCCATTTTCCTCTGGAAAGAAAAGGGAGAGGACCTAGTAATAATCCTGGGGGTGCTGGCATCCTCACCAGAGTGCACATTTTTGTGGCACAAGCCCCTTGCCAAATGTCACTTTAAACCCCTTTCAACTCATGTGCCTGAAAGAAGAAAATAATTAAACTCTTCTGTCGGGGATCACCTGGCTGTCCACTTAGGATTTTTTGTTCCCACTGGAGCGTGTGATTGGAAAACAAAGGTAAATGGGAGCAATTTATTCCTGCTTCATTTTTTCCCCCAGCAGGATTAAAGCTGCTCCAGCCATAAAGAGTTTACAAACTCTAAAGAAAGATAATAACTTCCCTTCTCACAGCCCGGTCACTCGGAGGTAATGCATGTTTCCAATCAGCTGAGAATGTAACTCAAATGGTAGGTTTTATTTCACTTTAATCCTCCTGTGAGTTCACGTTAAAGGTAAGAGGAATCACAGTCCCACAACACAAACCGAGTTCATTAGACACAGCATCTCCTCCTACAGGTTGAGGTGCTAGACTTTTACTCTTTCCTTTGAATCTTGGATGGGCTGCGGTCCTGGGATGACAGTGAGTGGGACGTAGGTAGAGCTGACAGAGGGAAGCCATGCTGGAGGAAGAGGAGAGCTGACCACATGGACTATGGTGACATCAGCCACCACCAGACCTTGTCCTCCAGTGGCCTGCTTGGAAACCTTTAATGCCGCTCTTTCTTCTATGAAACATGCTCTTTCAGTTTAAGCATTGCCCTCTCCGACCTTTTTTTTTTAAGAAGATGCAGATGTCTCCAGCAGGGTTACATTCTGGTCTCCTAGGGTCTCAGGGAATCTCTTTAACAGTTCTGGTGTGTGCAGATGGAATGAGAGTATAACAGGGCTGTGTTGCTTGTGTGTGTTTGGGGAAGAGGGTCTGCATGGGGTGGCCCCCACTGCACAAGAGTCAGGGAGAGGACTCAGAGCAGATCCTGTGGATGTTTGGTGGGCAACAGGCTTGACTCAATGCAGTTAGGCCTGTTCCTGACTGCTACTGCTCAGGGCCCCTCCCAGAATCTCCTGGGGCTGTCTGTCTCCTATGTGCCTCTGTTGGGGACTGGCAATACTGGCTGAGAGCTGTCTCTCGCTTTCCATGACATGCTGCCTTGTCAAATCCATCAACCTTCTCAGCAGTCACCACAAAGAACCCCCAAACCTCAGGTTCCTCTTGAGTTGTAGCTACAGAAGCTCAGGAATGAGACGGAGGCACCTCCTTGTTCTGCCCTATTTGGAGGCTCTGGGCTGCCCCCACTGAGTCCCAGCTGCCTCCACTGTCAGCCCAGTCTCCACAACCTTCTCCCTCATGCTGGTGACTGGTTTCCCTGCACTGTGGGCCTCAGCCTGCCAGCATCTGGCCTAAGAAGCCAGGCTCAGGCCTCAGCACCCTGAATGGCTGCTTTGACCACCAATGCCCTATCTGTCTGTCCATCTGCCTTTTTTCCAGTTCCAACAACAGTGGTCTTTGTCTGTAAGGAGCTTGAGGTCTTACTAGAAAGAAAAATGTGGAATATGTAGCCTTAGTGTGCTGATGCCCCACATAGGATGGCCTTGGTCAGCCACAGGCTTCCTTTCCCTAGGCTGCAGCAAAACTGGATCATCTGATGTGCCTGCCATTGCTTCTTCATGGCACTGCCTTGGGCTTTGGGGCCCTGCTCTGTGACTGTGTGGGGGCAAGTGTGTTTCCATTGACACGTTGGCCTGCATGGATTCTGCAAGTCAGCAGATGGATTGGGAAGATTCCCATTCTTGGAAAAGCAGAGGAGTGTGAAGGTTAAGGTGCCTTAAAGGACCACATGCAGGATGACTTCTAAATTTCCCAACATTGCCTCAGAGAGAATTGTAATGCTCTGGGGTCTATATGACTGTCATTGATGTAGCTCTTTTTAGCAGATGTATACTCTTGTGTGTGCACCTGTGAACTAGTCCCTGAGTCTACTTGTGTTCAGTTTGTCCCACTGGACTAGCCAATGATATCTGACTCTCTTGAGCACCTACTGTGTGCCACAGACTGCACTAGATGCATTACATGTGGAACTTCATTTGACCTCTGTGATGGCCCTCAGAGGGGAGGTGCTGCTATTGTCCTCATTTTCTAGAATAAACTCCATCACAGGGAGATCCATGCACTTGTCAAAGATCACAGAACTAGTAAGTGGGTGGCATGAATTCTAACCCAGGAGTAGTCTGACCTCAGAGCTCCAGCTCAGACACACCATGGTGTTCACATGGGTGTGTGTGCCCCTGAGTAGGGGGCTGATGAGCTGCATGCTCCTGGGCTACCAAGCCACGCTGGATGTGGGAGAAAACAGAGGGGATGGTTGGGAGGGACTCATCCCCTGCTCAGGCTGCAGGGAAGTGGTGTCAAGTGTATAGCCCCAGGGCCTGAAGCCGGTCTGAAAATTCCAGCTGTGAGGAGAGTGGGGTTGGGTGTCAAGGATCTATTCAAGAAAAGTGGAGCCTAGGATGGGCAGAATTTTGCTGTCCTGAAAACTTAGTAAAAAGCAAAGTGTGAGTTTCCTGGGGAGATTTCGTGAGTTGGTAGAGTCTGAAACAGCAAACCAGATGTTTCCTGGCTCCCGCCCATCCTGTGTCTGGCCTGCGATTCTTCAGCCTGCTGTTCAGTGCATCCTGGGTCCCCAAGGGGCTCATAGACTCTTCATTCCAAAGACCCAAGTCAAAGAGTCTGCCATGGAGGAAGTGGGCTGCCCTCTCTTGGAGAACCGCAGCAGGGTAGGTTTGCTCCTTTCTAGAGGGAAGAGAACACTCACTGAAGCCCTGGAGAGGGGCTCTCGGTGGCAGCAGCTTGTCTCAAAGTTCTCCAAGGAGTCAGGAAGCTGCACCTGGGGACCCCAGTGCTCCCACCAGCTTGCTGTCTTCTGTCTTTGATGCTCATGTCTAATCTCTAGTTGTGGCCTCTGTTTCCCTAGGGGGAGGTGCTCTGTAATGCATCATTTGGGCCACATTTCAGTCTGTGAGGGATCATTGCTGCCTTTAGAATCAGCAGTTCCAAACAATGGGCTCCATAAGATCAAACTATGCGTGGCCATTTCTTGCCAGCCCCAGCAAAGTGTTTCTTGTTCTGTAAACCTTGGCCATATGATGCAAAAACCGGTCAAAATTCCCTCCTGACTACTCAAAGGTCCAGGGCTAAAACCAAACCCTCCATCAGGGAATCACAGAAAGCAATAAGCCTTTGGGTTCGGGGGAGCCAGCCTGCCAGGGTTCACATCTTCCTAAGCTGCAGGTTTGCAGGGAGCCCTCAACTTTATACCTATTGAGTTCTTTCTCTCAGGTCCCATGACAGTGGCTGACCCTTATGAATGCCTACTGTGTACCAGGCATGGCACAAAGCACTTTGCCTGTTATTTTCAAGAGGGGAAAATATAGGCAAAAACAGTCTAAGTCACTTTCCCAAGATCATGCAGTTCATAAATGGTGTAGGGTTGGGCAAGATAATTAACCTTTGAAGCCTCAGTTTCCTCACTTGTAAAATGTGGTTAATACAATTCATCACCTATCTGGAATGCTGTGAGGTTGGATAAAGCAATATACACCGCACCCAGCAGAGTAGTGAGTCCATAATAATATGTCCAGCTGGAGGAGAGAGAAAAATACAGTGACTAGAGCACCAATCAACAGTGGTGATCAAATAAGGAAGTCACTAGCTCCTGAACCCATGTAAGTAACCTATAGTCTTCCTGAGCCTGTGGAAGCAGAGACTGTCAGCCTTGTTCAGTGCTAGTTTCTGGGGCTTTGTACACATCTGGCAAAAAGGGGCGGGGTGCTTGATGAAAGTTGAATAAATGAGAGAAGAACAGTCACAAGGGGTTGTTCACAGCATGGATCAGTCCCCTCCCTGCAGACCGTGCTCTCCTCTGCCTTGTGGCTCTAATTTCCAAGAGAGGGGAAGCTTCCCAAGCAAAGGCATGGCTGGGTCTTGTCCAGTGCTAACTTCCCCAGGGGGAAGAGGCTAAGGGTCTGGGAGCAGAGTTGAACCTCCTACGGCCTGCCATGAGTGCAAAAGGGTCTTTCTTTGATGGGAAATGGCAAAAGTCAGAAGTGGTTACAGAACCCACAGACACATGTCACAGTGGGTACAGCATCTTGGATACCCTGGACCATGGTGACCATCTGAGTTTGTAGGTCCCACCCTCTATTACATGGATGGACACTGATTCTAGTCCACACTCCCAGGATAGCGTGGCAAGTGGCTGCCAGCATACTGCACCCCCAGTTCACGTAGGCCTTCTCCCACCTTTGGCCTGCCCAGATCCTTATCAATCCCTTTTTTGGAAAGACCACCTCTGCCCATTGATAAATGACACATCTGAGTATGACAACTTCTGAACTGAATTCTAACACAACGTCCCCACTGCAGAATTAGTCCTGAAAGAGTCCATTTGCTCTGGGAAACCACCTTTTTCTGAAGACTTTTCTTTGCTTTTGGTTTGGCCAAAGCTTTGATCCAGAAGTAACAGAGAATGGGAGAGTGTGAGGATGAGGAAGGCCATGGTAACAGTGGTGACAATGGATTTCCAGGCAGGCCCAGCTCCTGGCTCCCATCCTGGAAGTACTGAGCTCTGCCTGCATCTTTCCAGAAATGTGAGCCTCCACCTTTCCAATTTCCTCTTACACCTCTTCTAGGTTTCCCACCCCCACCTCCGCATGACAACGTGGCGTTCACGTGGCCCATATGGGGATCAGAGAATCCTATTGGGTATGCCAGCTTAATGAAATACTTGCAGTTTATTAAACCCAGGCTTCCCTAAGCCCTGAGTGCCTGTGGGTATTTGAAAGCTGAAGGTAACCCCAAGCTACCACAAACGTAATTGCTACATGTGTCCGTGCATTCTTGCTGCGACCTCAAACTCCTCCTCTTATGCAGTGTGCGAAATGAGCAACATAAAGTAACTCCTAGTCAGACAAGGCGGGGAATGTGGGGAAATGCTGAGAGAGTCTCCCCAGAACCCCTCAGGGCCTCTAAAAAAGTATATGAAGTTCCCATTACTTCTAGCCACAGAGGGCGCTTCTCCACCCCCTGGCTGCTCAGCGTTTGCAGAATTGGTTCATTATAAGTGAGGCAGTCAGCATGCCTCGAATGTCAACCTTCCATGTCAACTTTGCATGATGTAGCTCAAATATTTCAAGCCCTGTTTCAGCAAGGCTTGCTCTCAGCAGCAGGGCTAGCAGAGAGCAGTGTCTGGCAGCTCCCTCTAGAGCTATATTTCTGTTCCTCCTCCAGGGCTTGACTGCAGTGGGCTGTTCCAAGTCTGGGAGGGGATGTAGAGAACCCCAGGTGAACTGGAGTTCGCTCCTCTGAACCCAGGAGGGGCTGCCCCTGGGGGATGCTTTCCCATTCATCTGTCTCCTCGGCCTTGGGTCTGTAAATCAGGGGTGAGGGGCTCATATGGAAGCAGCAGACAAAGGCCTCAAGGGAGGTGCCTCTCTCTATGTGGATAGTCATCTGGATATTGGAAAAGGAGATCCTGTTGGTGACACTCAGGGGGACCTGCTCCAGGAACCTCAGCAGCAACCCGTTGACCCACACACAGCTCTTGCGGCTCAGGTTCTTGAGGCAGAAAGCCATCGGAGTGCTGCCGGGCTCCAGGTAGGGCTCCAGGGACAGGTGTCGGCGGGAAAGGTGGGGCAACTGCAGTTGGAGGTGGGTGTCATGTCCCCGGCCAATCAGTAGTGGGCTGGTGTCATGCTGCAACTCCAATGGGACATTGATGAAGGCGGCAGTGCCCAGTGTGGGGTGGTACAGGCTTACCCGCAGGACTGTGAGAGAACTTTCCATGGATGAGCTCCTGAGAGGATGGAAAAGAGACACACCTCTGTGGCTCCCTGAGGTCACACAGCCTGTTCACCTCAGGGAACCTTTGAAGCCTCAGTCCCCTGTCCCCAGCCACATTTAGCTAATCAAAAACACATGTCCATGGATTCTGCCCAACCCAAGATGGAGTCAAGGTTGCAGAACTGAGTTTAGTGCTAGCTTCATCTCTCCTGTGTTTAGACAGTAGGACATGCCACCTATCCTCTCTGAGTCTTGTTTTCTGTATTATGAGTATGTCCATCTTTCCATGCAGCAAATGGGGCATACCGCCTGTCAGGGTGGGGTTTTGGTGGACTAGCATTTGGAGATAATTTGGTCCCACTTCATGGGAAGAGTAGAGTAGACAGTCCACACCATCTTTCTATCTGGCAATCACACAACAAACCCTCCCTGAGCCTTCCTTTAAGCCTGGCACCGAATCAGTTTTTGTGGATCAGCAGATGCAAATTACCCTTCTCCTTAGGAGCATCCAATTGGAGGAGGAGATAGTGCTCCTAGCTCTGGAGGTGTGGCAGGACACAGGTGAGGGCAGCCTACTTGGTCCTGGGTATCAGAAAGAGAGAATAAGGACAGCAAGCATCTTCTAAGCACTTCCTGTAGGCTGGGCATCATGCTTGGCACTTCTCCCTTGTGAAGGGGATGAGCATCCCATCCTCACCTCTGAGCAGAAAGTAGATGCCGATGCAAAAGGTGGAGAGTGCTAAGAGATCACTCGCTAAAGAACCCAGAGGCGCTCAGTGGAGGCAACTGCAATGTCTACTACAGTGAGAAATGCACACATCCTTTGTCCCACAATCCATCTCCAGGAATTTTTCCTGTAGAAACTCATTGGCACATACCATAAAGCCACCTCCAATGATCAGCTTTGTTCCTGCATGGATTTGAGGAACACAAACTCTCTGGCACTTCACATACCCATATTCCATCCCAATTATTATTCAAGGCCAGGTTCAAAGGCTTCCTCTTCTATGAGTTTTTTTTTTTTTTTTTTTTTTTGGCCTGGGGAAGGTGATTCCTCTTGTCATCTGGTAACCACAAAAGGGAGAATCCCTTTTGGGGCACCAGCTACATTTTGTATTTCATGCCTGAGTTCTGTAAGCCCTTGTCCTATCTTCCTTGAACTCCTTTCCTATCTCCCTGAGGTCTCCCAAGGGCAGGTAGATTGTGTCCCATTACCCAGTACAGACAGCACCTGGCCAGAGCAAGTGTCTAAGGCACATCTGGACTAAATAAGAAGCCCACACTAGTGAAGTCAGGTCCCAAGACACCACAAATAGTAGACTAATCCTCAAGAGCTGTAGGACAGGGGGCTGGGAATGTGGCTCAAGCGGTAGTGCGCTCGCCTGGCATGCGTGCGGCCCGGGTTCGATCCTCCAGCACCACATACAAACAAAGATGTTGTGTCCGCCAATAACTAATAAATAAATAAATATTTTTTAAAAAGAGCTGTAGGACAAGGAGCCTGTGCTGGATGGTACAGAATCCTGGTCTCTCCTTGTGCCCAACCATCTATACCTCCTGCCTTTTGGATGTATTAGGTTAATGTTGACCTTCCAGTCTAACAGCAAGGCATAGGCCTCTTGGGACACCCCTTTTAGCTGGTGTACAGTATTTCTGCCCACATTTCTCCAGGACAGCTGGGATGGGCAGCCATGCCTTCAGATTTAACCAGAAACTCAAACTTCACTTCTAGAAACCAATCCCAAGGTGTGAAGACCCCGAAAGAATCTCTCAGAAAGGATTCACTGCCACTCTGTGTGACCTTACTCTGCTCTGTTGAGTGATCCAGAGCTGACAGAAGTCACCCATCAGAGCGGAGCCCTGAAGGGACAGTCAAAGGTCTCCTGGATCCTGGCTGGTCTGTGGAAGTGGAAACCCAGCCCTCCTGTCTAGAAAGACACTCTGGAGTGTGTGTCTGGTGAGGATCGCATCTCCCAGCCTCCTTGAGGGTTATAGTCCCTCTGACCTCCACTTACCTTATGGCCAGGGCCTCATCTGCATTAGCCCTGCATCTGTGAGCTCTCTCAAGGGAGTGGGTCTGGGGTGGGGCAAGACCAGGGACGCTTCTTATGACTGTGGTTCAGTATCATGATGTGTCAGAACATGCTTCAGTTTCGTTGCTTTCTTCCTTATTCTACTTAGGAAAGATAAAATGAAAGCGTAGTTTTCATTTGCAGAAGTGTAACTAATCCACTGCCTGGAGTTGGAAAATCCCAGTCTGGGACCCCTTCTAGGAGGGGCCTGCTGAAAGGTGGGGTTCCCTCCTGGGTTGCAACATTCCTACCACCACAACCCCAGTGTCCACAAGCTTCCTTCCCCGCCTGGCTGTTGAGTGGGGTGAAAGCAGCTTAGGTGTGTTGGAAAGGAGATCTTTGTGGGTGGACAGATGGCCACTGGCAGGGAGTTCCCACAGCATGAGGAGCTCATTCTGGCTGGACAGAGTTTAGCCAAGGAAGCTGTAGGCAATGTGGCAGTCTCCAAAGGTTCTCAGGAAAAGGTGAGGTGCAGCAGAAAGAGAAAGGCCACTTACAGAAGGTGGCCTGTCCTGCAGAGCATCAAGAAAGATGTCTCTAATGCCCACTCCTCCTGGCTCTATTGATCTGCAAGCAGTCTAGAAAATGTCAAGGTGGATGCCCACCCACAACTTTGGGCTCTGAATGAATGTCATGGCAGTGGTGACCTCTCATGTGGCATGGCTCGTCACAGTCCACCAATGTGTTCATGTCACCCTTGTTACCCACCACCCTGCCAAGGTGACCAAAGACATGTGCCCATCGGATGCAGGGGGAATCAAGGCTCCAGGAAGATCTGTGCCAAGCACAAGCCCCAGAATGTGTCAGCGGCAATGTCCTCTCAGTGTTTATAGCTGAAGGGTGCAAGGTGGGCCAAGCACAAGCCCCAGAATGTGCCAGCGGCAATGACCTCTCAGTGTTTATAGCTGAAGGGTGCAAGGTGGGCCACCCCAATCAGCCAGCAGGTGCCTGGTCCATCTCACTGCCCCCAGCCCTCTGCTTACTCACTCCTCATGAGTAACCCATGTGGCCTCTGACAGATGCTTCTGCCTGCTTCTTCTATTCTAAGCACTTAGGTCCTGCCTTCACTCTGGTTTGTTGCTTAGTAACTAACGGGAAAACAGCGAACTCTAGCCATAATCATCCATCCTTACCTGCTCCAGCCAATGTGATACCACCACTCAGGCTTCCTAGGCAATCAGCTCCCCCAGAAATGGGAACTATATCTACATTTGGAGTGCCCAAAGCATTAAGTGCAGGCTCCTGCCCGAGTTCCCTCCTCCCCACTATCTCCCTGTGTTCCAGCAAGCCCAGGGCTCTGCCAGATCTGCCAGGGAGGCTTGCCCATATGCTTGGGATGTCAGCACCACCACTGGGGGCTCAGGGAGACTCAGGCACAAATAGTGGTTGCTATGGAAGGATGGCGATGGGAGGGCTTTCCAGAGGTGGGAGGCCTGGGGCTAGTCCTGACCTCAAGGTCAGACTCAAGAGGCTGGGTGCTTAGCAGTTAAGGGTCTGGGCTTTGGCCTCAGTTATGTTTGATTCACCTTCTAGGTCTTCATTAAAGACATAGAATTATGGTTAAATCTTTTCATCTCTCAGAGCCTTGTGTTTTCTACCTATGGAATGGGAGTGGTCAGAATATCTATTTCAGAAGACTGTATTCAGAAAAGAGAAAAAGCATTAAAGTGCCTTAGGTATGGTGCCTGGCTCAGAGCAGTCTCAATGAATGAGAGCCAACTTGAATGATGAAGCTCCATGCAAAAGAGGTGGTTATAGATACCTTCTCACCAAGAACATCTATACATGCTGAGTTTTTACAAATCTGAAGGCACTGGAGAGCAACAGACGGCTAGAACCCAGGAGAGGAGAAACCTGTTCACTTAAGCCTCACATACTAGCCTTCTTCCCTGTGGGGCATTTGCCGGTTTAAAAATGACTGGGGCTAAAAACTGAACAGAAAGTGGCATTTGAGAACTCTTGAGAGTCTTGCAGGACAGAGGAGACAAACACTGGAGCTCAGGACGCAGAGGGTCAAGAGCCCCGGGAAGAAGAGAACCACAGAGAATGGAGCTCTTCTTCTTTACTGTCAAGTCATGTGCTGATTTCAAAGTGGGTGGGATGAGAAACTGAGACCCCCACGTAAAAGCAAGTGCTAAAAGACTTTGAAGCCAAGCAGAGGCTTAGGGAGTCTCACAGCACTGAGTGGACCAAAATTGGAGTTCAGGACCAAGGAAGAAGGGCCCTGTTAAACACCCAGGCTTTCTATTGAGACCCATAGGATTCACCTAGAACTAAGGGAAAACCAAAGAAGACCCAACCTAAAGACGACTGAGGCCCAACCCCAAATGATCTCCATCTTCCTCCTCTAACTGCCTGTTGGAAGGAAATTAAATCCCCACTAGAGAAAGTTAATATCTTACAGGGCTGCCACAATTTTTCATTAATGATGTTCCATGATTAATTTAAAAATTACCAGGCATTCTGAAATACGAGAGAGAGAGAGAGAGAGAGAGAGAGAGAGAGAGAGAGAGAGACCATAAGAGAAAAAACAGGCAACAGAAATAGCCTCAGTGATAGGTTCACAAAATGATCTGAACAAGTGGTCATAGAAGCTTTGTTTCACTAATGAAAAACTGCCAACAACCCAAATGTCCATTAAGAGAAAAACGAGCAAGGAAATTGTATAAAATGCATAAAATGAAGCATTACAGAGCAATACAGAAGAGAATAAGCTAGAGTTACAAAATAAATAAAAAAATAGATAGATAGATGGGTAGACAAATAAATAAATAAATCTCAAAACACATGGAACGAAAACGAAAGAAACAGGAACAAAAGGCATATATGAGTCTATAAATATAAAGTATAAGACAGACAAAACTAACCCATAAGTGACAGAAATCAGAGTATTATATTACCTCTGAAAGAGATTTTGACTGGTCTATCAGTTTT